TGTGTAGGACAACCTCACCTGGTTTGGGTAGCGAGCTTCCTCACTTTTCTGCCGCGTGTTGCGAAGCGTAGCAGTGAGGCGTACAGGAAACCTCCAGTCTATGCTGCCCATTGGTTGTGGGCGAGGTAGTGGCACCTCTTCTTTGACTGTCAGCATTTTGCCTGGGTTGGCACCAGGACTAAGCTCACTTGAGGGTGCTGCTGACTGGTCTTCCACCAGCTGCGAGGGGGGCTCTGTCTCTGTGCCCTCTTCTTCAGGAGAAACTGGTGGGGGCCGACTTGGTTGGCTTGGTTCCCCCGGGGTAGCTTCACTAGTCGGGCTGTTGGCGTCAGCCACCTCCATGCCTGGAGGTTCAGGAGGTCCCAGGATTTCCGGTCTGGCTTTGGACTGAGGTCTGCCAGAGGGCACCTCAGAGGGTTCTCTCTTCCTCTGTGGTGGGGGCGGCGGGGTGCGCACCCTGGATACACCAGGGCTACCTTTGGACTGTTCTGGTTGCGTGCCAGAGCCACTGCCTTTGGCACCTTTGGACTGCTCTGGCTGCGAGCCAGAGCCACTGCCTTTGGCTCCCACTGACGCACTCCTGGCCTGCTGAGGGCCCTTGCCTTTACCTTTGTCCGCACTCTTGCTGCGACCTTTGGCACCTTTGCCCTGTCCCATGACTGGATTTACACCAGTTCCTTTTTTGCTACTTTTTCCTTGTTCGGCCCAGACTTCTGGTGGTACTGGGAGGTTGCGAGAGGTTTCTCCTGCAGCACGCTCTCGCTTTCCAGGCCTGTTGCGGTTGTAGTACTTTTTGTACTCCGTCAACGGAGTTTTTGCTTTGGGCCTGGGAGTTCGCTGGCCTTTGCCTTCTTGCGGGCCTGCAGAAGAAGCGCTTGGTTCTTCAGGCCTGGCAGATCCTGGATTAGCACCAGGATTGTGTGCTTCTGGTCTGCTGGGCCCTGGATTCTCACCAGGGTTGTTCTCAGGAGCTGGAGCATCCCCAGCATCTGCCCTTTCTGCATCTACCTCCATGGCTACTGCTTCTGAGCCGAGGCTGCAGAAAAACGAAGTGTAGCTTGCTTGGCACCTGCACTGGAGGTTTTAGCTTTGGCTTTGGGCTTGGTTTTGGGCACCGGAGGGCCAGACTGGGTAACAACCAGTGCCTGTGGAGACCTCCAGAAGCAACGGCTCTAGGAGAGAAAAAGGGGACAGGGGCTTTTGGGCTTGGGGCCTCAGACACAACAGCAGTGGAACCTTTCTTATTGGCCTCAAGGCTGGTACCAACACCAGAACTCTCCGACTGTGCTTTAGCTTGAGCCTGGGGTTGAGGGAAGACAGAGGAAGCAACACGAGGCTGGAAGAAGGACGTTTTGGGCGCTTCCTTTTGAATGATCCCTTTCACCCAAGGGTCTTTGCCTTGGTACCTTTGACGACACTCCTTGCTAAGAGCACCAGATAAGTTGTCCTGGTTCACCCACTGCTTGAGGCCGCACTTTGTGCACAACCAGGCCCTTCCTCCGTTCACGATCCTGTGTGAGCCATGAGCCGGCAGAGGAAAAGGAGGGCCCTGGAACAAACAGTGATGGTTAGCTTTCTTGTCAAACACCTTCACTGTCTCCGTCTGTTCCACATAGAGGCCACAAGTGCTGCACTTGATGGTTAGCTGGTCCCTGGACTTGTGACCAACCACCCATGTGTGCCCAAGGTTGGGGCTTGTTCCAGCCACCATGGCCTCCATTTGCCTTCGTTTGTTTGGCTTATTGTCACCAGGACCAGAAACCTGGTTTTTGGTTCTGGTGTTGCTTCTGAACTTAATGATCTTTGTTTGTTTCGGGCCCTTTTTTGCCTTCTGCAAAGGCTTTTCTTCCTCACTCGGGAGACGGCCAGGAAAGGTGATCTGAGGGCCCTGAGAAGAGTCAGCTTGCAGTAACTCTTCCGCACGACGGGCCAGCAAATGGTTGACCCTAACCACCACCTCATCCCGAATGAGGATCTTTTGCTCCCAATCCATGTTTCTACACCCATTGGCTCTGGCCTGCACCAACTGGTCCACCAGTTGATTTGATCTCCACCTCCATAACGAGGCTTCGCCGAACTTGCAGGCAAAGTCTTGCTGGGTGAGATGACTGTTTACCCATGTAAGGTGAAGTCTCTCTTTTGCCTCCCTTAAGGGTTGGAGCAGGTCTTCAGATTTCCAGCCTTGTCTGCGCTGTACCGCCTTTGTAACACTTTTGGCATCCATGGTGACCTCAATGTGCCCTTGGACTTTTCCGACCAGGTACACAAGTGCTTGGGCCTCCACTCTGGACACAGTTTGCTCACACTCCACTGGCCCACTTGCACTGCCCATAACCTGGATCTCATCCCCCAGGATTTTGAAGGCAATCACACCCCAGGTCATTACCTGGAACCTTGGATCCTGGGATCCCCCAGGGCTGCCATCCGTTGCAAAGTGCAAGCCTTCTGCCTCGAGGTGCGGTTGCTGGAATACACCTAACTCCTGCAGTGCCTGTGCATAGCTTGGGGGTCGGGGCTGTTTGGCAGGAAGCCCTCTTAACCACAGGCTCGAGTCTGGATATTCCTTGCGAAGCCTCGGGAAGTCAGTGGGCTCTTGCTGGTTGTCTCTCCACCAGCTGCAATCCCACATAACATGCTGCCAAGAAGCCTCCTGATCACATCTGGCACACCAGGCCCCAGAGCCATGTCTGATAGCCCCTTGCCAGACAGCCACCAGAGCCTTGTTTCTGAGGCCCTTTAGTTTCTTGCGAGCTTTCCCAGGGGCCTGCCATTGAACACCTACCTCTAACGAGTTGCCGGCTTCACTTTGTGACAGGGCCTTCCATCGCCACCTGTCACAAGCCTGCTTCAAGTTGAAACTGAGCTTGTGCAGACTGGCCCTATCCAAGATGTGGAATTCCTCTCCCCCTGCTCGCCACACAGTGAGAGAGGCTGCCGTCCATCCCAAGGCTTTCAGATAACAAATTGCAGCACCGATCGGACCTACCACAATTCTCCACGGTTCCTTGTGGCTCATAATGCGCTTGTACCAGAAACGCCATGAAGCCTCAACCTCGGCAAAATGACCCTGGTTCCATTTCACCAGCAGTTGGTGAAAAAACCGGAAATGCTGGTTGATGATGACGAATGCAGGATCCTCGTGTTTGGCATTGGCTTGCTCCAAGACATATTCCGTAGAACCCAGGCTCATCCTTCCAAGGACTTGCGCTTGTTGATGCCTGATCCACTTGAGCCTTTTTGGAGCGAGGCCAAGGGCAACATGGCCGTAGAGAGCCACGCTTAGGACTCCTTGCTTGAAGGCCCGAATCTTAGGCCCTCTGTCGGGAGCCAAGATATCCAGGCGCTGCTTTCTGGCCCCACCTTTTTTCAGCCGGGGCCGGTGGTTTGCTATCCTGCGACGCTTGCCCCAACCTGAGTCAATGCCCAAGTCCCTGTGGATATCTCGAATGGTTGGGTCACCATCCTGCAGCAATTTGGTCAAAGCCTTTTCAACTTTTTTGTTACTGCAGATCCACGCCGTTTTGCCAATACTCAAAGGGAGCTTGGCATCTTTGAGTCTTTTGCGCGCCTCCTGCCATACATGATAGGCCATTTTTGCACACTGCTTGGGGTCGCTGTGCACTAAGTCAAACCCCGTGTCATCGATGTAGCGATCAACATGACACTGTGGCGGTCCTTGCCAGATGGGCTCGACAACCTCATGCATGATCAGTTTACTCAGCCCTGGGGCTAACGGGCACCCCGCCAGGATACCCTGGGTTGCCACCAGGGGTGCGCTGACCATGTTTTCTGCACATAAGTGCCTTTTGCCACGGTACAACTGCATAGCCCCATGTAGTAACAAGGCAGGATAGTGATGCTTGAAAGCACTGGCAATCAGGTCTTTGTGGGACACATTTTCGTAAAAACCCCTCAAGTCGAGGAGAAGGGTGACACCAGATTTCTGGTTTTGTCTATGCATCTCGCCTTTCATCACCCTTGTGACTGCTACCTCCAACGAGGAGTGGTTTTTAACCGCCCTGTCCCACGGCGCAGACAACTGGTATTGTCTGGCCCACTCATCATGCAGCGGGTACCTGGATTTACACCAGGCCCTGTAAGCATATGATGTCAATGCAATCGGTCTTTCTTCAGACTCTTTTTTCGGGAGAAGCGCCACCAGCGACATTGTGGCAGCCTCTGGCATGACACCAGTGGCCTCCCAAGTACGGAAAGCTTCAGCCACCAGGGCAACCTGGTCCGGTTCTAAAGCTTTAAGCATTGGGCTAGTGAGCCCATCCGGGCCACATGCCTTTTTGGCCATTTTACGTAAAGCTTCCTCAACTTGTCTGTTTGTGAGTGGCCCCACCTGTCGGAGTTCTTCGGCAGCTTTATGCCTGAGCTCTTCAAACAAGTGGTGGTCCTCCGGGCTGTTGTCAGCCTGCGGTTTCCAAACTTGCTTCCACTCTTGCCTCCGAAGGTGAGGGCGAAGCTCACTGCTGGCTTCACGGTACGGCCTCGCCTGAATATTTTCAGGCTTCTTGAGGGACTTGTACAGGCCTCGCATGCCACCCTCCACAGCTCCTTGCAGCCAGGATTGGTAGCCTTCCTGTTGACTATTTCGCCATTGTCGGGCAGCCTCCTTGGCATTGGCGATGACAGTTTGCACCAATGTCAGGTTGGTTGGGTGCCCAATGACAAAATTCTCAAGCTCTGCGCGTAGGAATTCAGCCTTGGACTGTTCTTCCGGCTCCAACATATGCCGCACATGTTGCAACTGCCGAATGAACAATCGTACCTGCGAAGGCTTGAGGGGCCTTTCTTGTCTCTGCTGTATCCATAACTGGATCCTTTCCCAAAAAGCAACTTTACCTCCTTGCCACGCTTTGTCAGGCGCTGTTGGTTCCACCAACGGTTCACGCTTGACTGGAAAACACCAGCCTCTGCCTTTACCATTCATTTGGAGGTCTGCCTCGAGTCTCGCCATGACCCGCCCCCATTGCACATCCTGCTCACACTGGCTAGGGCTCAAACATGGCCACAACTTCGCTAATGTCTTGCTCACCACTGTCTCCCTGGTTCTCACCAGGGGCTTCAACAAACTTCGGGGGTTGCGGGACTGGCAAACTGGCTCCAGTCTTGTGGACTGTGAAACGTAGAGCTGCATGTGGCTTGAACGGCACATTCCACTCAGTGGCAACGCTCACACAGCCCGCCAGCTTAGCACAAACCACCCCAAAGTCAATCGAAGAACCTTGCGAAGTGGTGGCTTCCAAGGGTGCCAGCAACCTCCCATGCACCGACTGTAAAAACATGCGTGCAATTCCAGTCCCCCACAACAATCCATGGGATTCGCAGTTCCCAAGGGCAGCCAGGAGGCTTGGGTTTACCCCGCCGCCTGGTCCAACTCCAGATTCCAGGTATAAATTTCCAATCGCCAACTCCCAGCCATGAAAACGAATACCCGAGAAAACAAAGCCTTTGCCAAGTTCACCGTACTTATGGAGGAAACGTGTCTGGTAACTGGAACGGGACATGCTGACCAGACCTCCAGTAGACCCGCCTGGGGTTTGTTCAGCAGGGAGGACCCAAGGCTCTAAAGCAACCGCCTTCAAGGAAGAGGTCATGGCATCAGTAGCCGACTCCACTTGGTGGGTTTCTTGAAGGCACGCACAATGCCACTGGTTGCTCACCAGCCATTGTCTGATCTCAGATCTGTAACTGGTGATATTGGCTTGCAGGATGTGGCAACAGTCATCCTTGGGTTTGGCATCTCCTTGCATTTTGATGTCTTCAATGCCGGCTAAAATTCCTATGGTGTCTTCTTCATCCACAGCCAGGCATTCAGGAATCCTGTTTGCAACCCAATACCCCAAGGATCCCGGCACCAAAAAACTTTCAAACCTTTCAATCCATGACAAAAGTGCAGCTTCTTTAGCCTTCATGCAGTATTGAGGCTGCTGCACCAGGATGTCCGAAAGTTGGCACCAGTCTTTCCTGGTTGGGGCCTTGGGTTCAGGGTTCTCAGGTAGGGTCACCACCTTCTTGGGGGCTACAGGCTTTTTGGTATACCTGCTGCCTTTGGTGCTGGAAGCCGCCCAGCTGGTTGACCCAGGGTCCTGCCAAGTTTCGCCCTGTCCCGGGCACCAGGTATCCCTGGTCTGCATGGGTGCACTGACATCCCTGGCACTGGAAGTAACACCAGTAAAAGATGCCGAAGCCTTGCACACCATCTCTTCAGCATTAGCCCAGTTTCCTGCCTGGATCACCCCAGGCTCCTCTGCCTCCCAGGGCTCAAAATCCACAGGGAAGTAGCGAGGGCCTGTGAGCGCAGCCTCACTTAGCTGCGGCCAGACCTGGGCAACACCTGAAAACCCACTTTGTAGCTCACTGCACTGCTCCTGTTTAAAAACCCAATTTGTACATGCTTTGCAACACCAGCCCCACGGTTTCTGCCTTAGGCTGTAAGCTGCACCAGCATACTTGGTCAAAATTGGTGACTGCACCAGGGGTTGGATCCTGGTAACCACCTGCTTTTCTGCCACCCAAAGGGCAGTTTGCCACTCTTGCGAGATTTTCACCTTGTTACCAGGCTCAACTTTACACAAGTCACAAACCTGATGCTTTTGGCCTTCCCCAGGAGTGGGCTGCTCATACTTCAAAACTGCTTGCTCCTGCTTAAAAGACGGGAGCAGTCGGCACTTCTGGTTTCCAAAACTGCGCTGTTCTGCTCTGCTATAATCCGCACCCTGGATTTGCACCAGGATTCCTCGCAGACTGCACCTACGTTTTCCAAAACTGTTTCCTGTGTTGACACCAGGGTGTGAAGGGCCATAACCACGCATGCTGCACCAGGAATAAGCAACATCACGTTTAGGCCCCCACCCAGCATCTCAGGAGTCTTCTTGTTCACCCCTGGACAAGGGGGTGCTGCGCTGGCCAGCCCTCGACGTTCTGCTGGGTCCGAAGCTGGGATTGGTGTCTTGTCCACTCTCAGCCCTGTTTATGTTGAACATGTCAGGCGGAAAAGACTCCCTCATCCATCCTTCTCCAAGGTCCAGCATTTCCTCATCGATCTTGGGCTGTGTCATTGTCTGGATGTAGGCCGACAACGCCACATGCTGGTCATCAGTAAGCGTAACTCCAGCATTCTTCAAGAGCCCTTGCAGGTCCTGCACCTTAGGCGGCTCTGCTTCTTTGAGTTGGGTCTGAACCTGGGTTTGGACCTTCACCAGGTGACTTTCAGCTTGCTCAATTTCCTTTGAGACATCCGCCAAGTCTTGAACAGCCTTTTCGAATTGTGCTTTAATCTTATCTGCTCGGAGCTGCAGTTGGGCTTTCTTAGCTACCAAGCTGCGGTGCTGTTGGGTGATAGATTTATACCGAGCCAGATACCGATGAAGCACTGTCCTCGGGTCAGGCTCTTCCTCATCCGGCGGCTCGATACCACAGGCACGAAGGACTTGCTGGGCCTGTGGATCTGCGTCCTTCCACAGGCTGG